TTCAATGAACGTCTTTTTACGTCTAGTGACAATAACTGCTTCAACGGTCGACAAAGACAAAAAATAACCAATCGCACACACGTACACCATGCTTAACAACCTGAAATTAATCTACGGGAACACTGACTGCAAGGGGTTCGTTAACAGCCCCCCCCCCCCCCTAGAGATTTGACTGTCATACTGTTACAAAGTAATGCGCTCGGTATGCCCTCACATTCGCCACCGATAATAACTTTTGCGCCATTATCGTTTTTGAGCAATCCGAAAATACATTTGGGAGGGATCAAGTATACGTAGCCCATAACCAGATGTATCTAGTGGCACAGATACCGATAGCAAAATGCGTTATAGAGGGCTACATTCACTTGGGCCCTCCCAAATGTATTTAAGCATAACCAAAAAACAAGAATGGCGCAAAGATATCTTTATACGGCGCATTTTAGCGCATATCGAGGGGTACAATTTAGTATAAGAACTTGATAGAAAAAAGTAACTTTTAAAAACGTTAAGTTACCCCTCCCCCAACCTTTTTTGAAAATTTGTCATGGCTTAATCGTGATGGCGCTAGCTTTAATTCAAGTGGCGCAATTGAGCGCATATCCAGATGTATCAGATGGCATAGATACCAGCGACAAAATACCTGTGTGAACTTGACCCCCCAACTTTAGAAAGCAATAATTTTCGTGATTGAAATGGATTGCGCTTCGTTTGCGCACGTTTGCGTACAATTGCATTTTGTTTGCGCGTTGTCGATTTCAAAATTACGAAGGAATCAAATTTGGGGGGGGGGGGGGACTAACTTCACAACTGCCCCCCCAAGTTTACAAATTTGACATTTTTTTTCTTGTGATCGTTTGCGCATGTTTGCGCTCCCAATACCTTCGTTTGCGCCCCCGTCGTTTTTGAGTTATTCCACATACAAAATTCCATACTGGCCCCCCATTTTTCAAATTTGCCATTTTTTTTCATTTGATCGTTTGCGCTTCGCTTGCGCACGTTTACGCACAATTGCATTTTGTTTGCGCGCTGCCGGTTTCAAAATAACGAGGTTACAAATTCGGGGGGGTCAACTTCACGACTGCCCCCCAAGTTTACAAATTTCACATTTTTTTCTTGTAATCGTTTGCGCATGTTTGCGCTCCCAACACTTTATTTGCCATTAAGGTTAAAGGGCGACTTAGCCTTCTCATTCAAACCTGTTAAAATGTCAGCTTAACATCTGCTATAAAATAAAAGATATAAATTGGTACATCAACCCGAGATGACTAAACCTATGGGCACTATGTAAGAGGAACAAAAAAAAGAAAAAAGTTTTCGCCCAAAGGCGCATTTTCCATGCATTGATCAGTACTTCCCTAAAGGTCATGGAAATGGTCTATTTTTAGGTTAAAGTTTGCTTTCACTAAAAGCATCTGTGGTTAAAATTAAAAACCAAAGAGTTAACGCTTCGCATTCTGTGGGTTTGCGAGTGTCGACATTGCGTATGCGCACTTTTGATTTTTTCCATATGCGATATGTTTATTTTTACTAGAAGCATCTGTGGTTAAATTTCAAAAAACATATCTCTATAAATAATAAAGTTATCATTGCGCATGAGCACATCTGATTTGTACAATACGGGATATGTTTGTCTTTACTAGAAGCATCTGTAGCATCTGACATTTCAAAGAAATATCTCCATAAATAAAAATGTTGGCATTGCGCAGTCTGCGCGCATGTGCACATTTGAATTTTACTATTTGCGATATGTTTGACTTTAGTAGAAGTATCTGTACTTAGAATTTCAACAAAACTATTAATAAATAAGAAAGTTGATATTGCGCAGCCTGCGCATGCGCACATGAATCGTCAAAATATTTTTTTGATCAGGTGCCAAAGCGAATGCGAAAAGAACGAATATCTTGCAAACTGTATGAGTAGTAAAGGCCTCGGACAGACGGACGGACAGAGAAAGTGGCTGCAACAGCGCACCTAACTTCGTTGTAAAATGCGCTAAAAAGTCATTGTGTTTAATTCCTCTGACATCGTGCCTACAGGGACCCCGGAGGTGGGCTACTCAGGCTTGTCAGACCCTCTTCATCCAGAACAATGGAATGTAAATTTGAAAAATCACAAGAAAAAAAAGTGAAATTTGTAAACTTGGGGGGCAGTCGTGAAGTTGCCCCCCCCCCCCGAATTTGATTCCTTCGTAATTTTAAAACCGGCAGCGCGCAAACAAAATGCAATAATATATATAAAGAGTTCCTGTAACCTGCATCAATTTAAATGCCAACTTAAAAGTTACTTAAAATGAAAATTGTTTTTATTCCATCGCCGAATATTTCAAATTTTGTAATGAAAAGTAGTATGTTGAATTGTCTATTTTATGTATCTAATGTTTGTCATAGTTTATTGTCTTATTAATTTTTGTCATATACCTATACTTGACGCTTCCTATACAATATCGATAATTGTTAAAAGGAATTATAAAATAAATCAAATCAAATCAATTCTGCGCAAACGTGTGCAAACGAAGCGCAAACGATCAAATGGAAAAAAAAGGCAAATTTGAAAAATGGGAGGCCAGTATGGAATTTTGTATTTGGAATACCTAACTCAAAAACGACGGGGGCGCAAACGAAGGGATTGGGAGCGCAAACATGCGCAAACGATCACAAGAAAAAAAATGTCAAATTTGTAAACTTGGGGGGGGGGCAGTTGTGAAGTTAGCCCCCCCCCCCCCAAATTTGATTCCTTCGTAATTTTGAAATCGACAACGCGCAAACAAAATGCAATTGTACGCAAACGTGCGCAAACGAAGCGCAATCCATTTCAATCACGAAAATTATTGCTTTCTATAGTTGGGGGGCCAAGTTCACACAGGTCGACAAATTACGTAGTGGGGGGGGGGGGCTATGTATACTTGGCCCCACCCAAATATGTTTTCGGATTGCTAAAAAACGATAATAGCGCAAGAGTTATTATCGGTGGCGCGTGTGAGCGCATAACGAGCGCATTACTTTATAATAAAATGACCAGTACGGACTGAACGGACTACAGAAAATGAGATACCGGAAAAGCCGACACACTCATTATTGGAGTGGAGGTGGCTGCTTCGAGATATAGGAGGGTGGGGGGGGGGGCACTTTTTAGGCAACCTAAATGAACAATTTCCGGCGTTTAATAGTAATATTAGAAAATAAAATACCTACCATAGTATTTCAATTAAGTAGTTGAATAGGTTTTGCGAAATTTGCGCCACTGAACATCTAAAACATTTGATGTATACCTATGTGGTAGCAAATTTTCTTCTCTCTTTTGACATTTTTTTCTTAAAATGCTTAGTTTTAGAGTTATTGAGCAAAATTTCAAAAAATGTATATTTTACGCCACTTAGGGTGTGCATTTGGGGTGACGAGCTCAACGCATCGGCGCGGGGGTTTCAGACAGTATTTAATACCTTAAAACAAAGTACCTTGCCAAATTTCAGCTTGTCTCTCATTTCTTGAACGTCATCCTGTATAGTCCCTGTGCTAATACCCAATAATAAGGATAAGGATTTCACAGTATAATATAAATACTACCTTGCGCCTGTATGTGTTTGTATTTTCGGGTAAGATGGGTTGTAGGGAACTACCCATCGATTATCCAATAGTATACCGTTTACTGTAAAGCTTCTCCCATTGTCCCATTATCCTGAATTGTGCATATCGGTCAATGTCAATGTTGGCTTCGACACAAAAGTCCTTCAGGAAATTGTTTGTACAAAGTCACTGTCCCTTATTGTGATCCATGCAGGGAGCTCGCCTATTTTTTCTCCACATGGTCCGTGCATCATTCAGGTTGGTACGAAACATTTCGTTAGTGCGTCTAAGTAGTGTCATAATAATTCTGTATTATACTATGGTAGTGTGGTAGTGATGACATACGTAGTGGTGCGAGGCATAGGGATGTTCAATAATAGGTCAACACGCCACTACCACGTCATGTGGCTATCACTTCGGTGCGCACCTTGTCTAAAAGTGGTGTGACGTTGGCACGGAAAACGGGTACCCTGTACTTGAAAAAGGGATGGACGTACAGGGTTACTTTTTCGTGCACAATCAAGCACTCACGAATCACAAACGATTGTCACAAAATATTTAGTTTGTGCTTCAAAAAGTGGTGTGAAGTTAACACGGAAAACGGATACCCACCTTGTACCTCAAAAAGGGGTGGACGTGCTGGATTACTTTTTCGTGCACAATCAAATGAAGCACAAACGATTGGCACAAAACATAACGTTTGTGTTCCAATTACCGTGCTAACTTCACGCACCTACGAATAATTTGTTCACTCTTTTAAAATATGGTGAATTTGATTGATGGTACTTTTGAATTGTTCTCCGCGTTAATTATTGTCAACAGTGACCAAGACCAAGACCGAAAATAATACATTAAAATTATGCGTGTGATAACACACCAACTGCATACCATGGATAAACGTGCAGGCATTGCACTAATTTCATAATATTCCTTTATTATTATGCATAACCTAAATGAGTCTCTTGGTTGAATGAGGGGTGCACTAGCATTAGAGTTTCGACTTTAAAGAATATCTAACTTCCTAAGTAAAAACTTCACTTATTCATGCAATGTATAGAAAAAATAAGGTTTATGAAAGATTCTAGGTGTGGCACGTTTGCTTCCTGGTATAAGCATCAAATAAAAAGTCCCGTTTTGTAGAGCATCTAGGAGTTGCATCTAATTCGAAGATTTTTCGCACACCTCTTCTAATTACCTAAACGTTGAAAAAAAGGATAACAACATTACACCTACACTAACCGCCTAAGTGCAGGAATAAAGTCAAGTCTTCATTGTGGTGTAATTTAGAGCTAACAGGTCAACGACCAGATACCTCCTTAGTCAAGGCTAGGACCTCCACGGCGTGGCCAATACTTAACATTGAAGAACTTAATTCATAACTGTACAGTGTCGTCGCTATAACTCGAATCAAAATCGAATGCAAACCTTGATCCACTGTATCCAGCAACGGTACATTTCAGCAGGCATCCAAAAGCAATTCCGTATTGCACGGCAGTTCTTCGTGCATATGAATGAAAGAGCGGCGTGCAAGAAACGCCAGCTGCTTCCACTAGACCAGTTGGGCGGCGATGCGCTCGTGCTGACGGTGTCTTTTACGAGTTTTATTATGCCTGGACCCGGAGGTTTCTTGTTAATTGTGTTATTGTGCAGTGTGTTTTACAAAAATGTGCAAGGACAAGATGACTCCTTGGCCGGAAGTTTCCTATCGGGTACGTTTTGGAACCCTAACGACTTAATGTCTCGTTGAAAATTTCAGATACTAAACGGGACTTTGACCATAGATATTTCTGTACTGTTATACTCCTAACCCTCTTTCCGAGATCGAGATTCAGATCTCACCCACTCATCTCTCAATGGTCAATTTCAAAAATTTGGGTTTTTAAATCCGTAATAGGCGCACGAAACGAGAGTACATACGATCACGTATCAATAATAGCGGTTTAGTAAGACAAGCGCTTAATAGTAATTATTACACAATGTCGAAAAAACTATTACAAGACACGAGATTTACTGTTATAATTCGCGCACGTTATGCAAATTGAATTTTCTTATACCATTAGAAGCAAAAAATGTGTTAATTCAAGCTCGGTTTCACCTTGTTCTTAAACTTGTACCAGGTATGCGTGTTATACTACAACAGTTAATGTAGGTCACCTACCAGTTAGTAACTTCAATGCTATCATTTCCTGTGTAAATACTAAGAGAATTCGTGTTGATAATTCAATACGTAACCCTTCAATTTAGTCATACCAAAATCCCAATTTTTCCAGTATTTTTTGATCACAAACAAAGTACGTATATAGAGGTGCTTACGGGACTACAAAAATGTAATGCATTGTTAAATAATGCATTAGATTTCAAATTGGATACACTAAAAAAGTTTAAATTTCATTCCAAGCTCGTGTTCGATATGCTAAAATAATTGTAATCCAATTTAGAGTGCACCACGCATACCTTGCAACTCTAATTTAGTGAATTTTATTGGAGATTTAAAGACTATAGTTCTTTTTACTTTAACGTTAGGTAATTGTTACATTTGATTCGGCTTGGAGCTATCAATGTTTAATTTGTCCCTTATGCGGCTACCTTTTTGTATTAGGTACCAAAAGTAGATATCGAACAATGGAATTCGCAGGTAATGTGAAAGAGACCTTTTTCCGGTTTGTTTCCTGTTGGGGAGAAATAGCCCATTAGTGCTTAGTGCAGGGGCAGAATTGATTATTAGTGTCAAGATAAAGTATTCACCGTATTCAGTCATTATCTTCAAACAATTGTCATAAATTTGAAAGTTAATCACTAAACACGAGTTTCGTACCGAGAGGCAAGTAAGCCAAGGGATGGGGCGCTAGAAGATCTATATTGGTAATTTATTGCTACATATGTTTCCCAGAATAAATGATACTATTGAACACTAACACTGAAATGATACTACGGTATGGTCCCAATGGAGGTTGCTCACTGACGTACATTGACTGCAGCTTCATGCCCTCCAATAATATCCCGGGGTGCTCTTGAAAACAGCTAAAAGTAGAAAACAATAAAAAAAATCTTGTGAAGATATACTAGGTGTGTTCAAAAAGTATCAAACGTTTGGTCGGCATACTGTGTCCAAAAAGTACCCGGAATCTTTCTAATTAAACTACTGGGGTAAATACTTTCGCAGCAATATTTCTTTCTTATGTTGGCAGCACTGTTACAGACACCCATGTCAAAATTTCAAGTCATAAATGCCATTAATGTTTGAATTGCGCTTAGTTTTGTGCGACACAAAAAGTGAATTTTTCGATTTTAAAAATATCTGAAATTATTCGACAAAGAAGTGCGATTAAATTTTATTTTCTGAATGGAATAACCGCTGCAGAAACGTTGCGAATGTTGCAGAAAGCTTATGGGGATCAAGATCTATCAAAAACAACAACATTTCATTGGTGCAAAGTGGTCGATGAAGGCACACAACGCGTCGGGGACGAATAGCATCCCGGGCAACCATCCACATCAAGTGATGACCAATACGCCCAAAAATCAAGGAATTGGTACTTTCAGACTGTCGATTAACAATAAGAGACCTTGCTGGTGATATTCGCATATCAAAAGGATCAGTAAATTAAATGTTGAAAGATGTTTTGGGCCTCAGACGCATCAAACCTCGATTGGTACCGAAAACACTGTTTTTTTTGGGAAAAAGAGGGGCGAGTTTTTCCCCAAAATACGACAAATATCGTTCCACAACCACCGCATTCGCCTGATTTAGCTCCGTGCGACTTCTGGCTATTTGTTAAGCCCAAAAGACCGCTCCGGGGACGTCGTTTTGACTCAAGTGAGGAGATAGTTGAAGACCATTTCGGAAAATGACTATTTGGGATGCTTCGGGAACGGGAAAAAAACGCTGGCGTAAGTGCATTGCATCGGAAGGGGACTACTTTAAAGGTAATGAAATATATTTAGAAGAATAAATAGAGGTTTTTCATTTTTATAACGCAATTCAGGGTACTTTTTGGACACAGTATATATCTTGATTTGGAAGTCCGACACTTTAATCCGCTTCAAAGTAGTCACTTCCGCCATTTTTGGGAACATATCTGGAACGCCATTTTTGGAATGGTGCCGTCCCATTCCTCATTATGTCTTCTCGTGACTCAAATCGGGTCCCTTTCAGCGGTATTTTCCGCTTGGGAAATAGAAGAACCATGGGAATGTTGTGTTTGGCTAAGAAAACCTGAATTGAATACACAAAATGGGTGCGTTATCGTGAGGAGATTTTGCTGCCCACAGATACGGTCGTTTGTGTCGCACCAGGCGGCAAAGGGTCTCCTGGTAGTACTCTTTTGTGATGGTTTGGCCTTGTAGTGAATCAAAGAAAACAATCAACATGACCTTGGCATTGCTGCGGACCTGCCGTGCTTTTTTGGAGACGCCGGATGTTTTCACTGTGACGATTGCATCTTTTTATGATTTTTACATCTTCATGAAAAATCAAGGTACCTACCTAAAGCGCAAAAGGAGAACTAATTGCGACGAATATAAGAATTTGACACGATTTCTGTGATCCCGTAACAAAATTTAATATTGAAAATACTGTACCTAACTATTTATCAGGATCCAGAAATGTCCACGGTACTTTTGAGGGCTCATTCGGGATGACCGAAGCCGGGCGAAAATAGTTGGCTGATCACCGAAAAACCGGTGCCGTGTTGGTGGTCGCCGGGTTGACCGTATCAAAGAAGACGAATGTACCGGTTTTTAAAGTTCTTCTCTTCCACTTTATACAAGATACAAATTAATTAATTTTTTATTCAAGGACAAATTCTAAAATTCATTACTACAACAGCTAATGTAGGTCATCCAGTCAGTAACTTCGAAACTATAATTTCCTGTTGAATATGAATTAATAAACCGGGACATAAACACGATTTGCCTACCGGAAAGCACCTAACCCAAGTGACGGGGTGCTAATAATTCTTTTTTGTAACGCTAATGTGGCGATTTGGAACACTTCTGGATTCGACTTGAAAGAAATATTGTTCCCAGTAAAATTGGTACTTCGGTATGGATTGCAATGGAAGTTGCTCACTGACGTACCAAGTGACCCAATAAGACGGTCCCTTGGCCATATCTCGGGAACCGTTCGTCGTATGACTTAGGGGTAAAAAAATTATTGGATGAAACGGTCATGAAGAATCGCTGGAAAATATTTTCAAGTTCTAAAAATGACCCCCAGAGAGCGTAACTGCCATCTTAAACTTTAAAATTGCATTTTCTTTAAATTTCGCATAATAAACTTCGCGTTTTTAAAGAGAACCAGTTTATCATTGTTGTAAAAAAACCTCAGTTATTTCAAAAACAAAGATGGTGTGGGGCCTTCAATTGTTTTTGCAATAAACCTGCTTTAACTTCTTAACGGTGTAACCGATTTTAACAAATTTGGTATCGTTGGGCAATAAGAATTAAACAAAATGTAGTTAATTTAGTTGAATCCTTCTCCGCCAGGGGGCTAGTTTTAACACCATGACCCAATATCCTAAATAAATCAAAAAAATCAAATGAAATATGAAAAAGTAGCCAAATAACATCCAAAGCGGCCAGTGAAAACCATTTTTTCAAAATTTCGTTCCTAACCTCAGATATTGGAAAAATGAAATTAATAGATCTTTGAGCCCAAATGTAGTTAATTTAGTTGAATCCTTCTCCGCCAGAGGGTTCGTTTTGACACCATAACCCAAAATCCTAAAAAAATCAAATGGAATGATCACTTTTTCTCAGTCTTTGCAGCACAACGAAATTTCTCGCGAGGATATGATTGCAAGAATTAGGAATGCCATCTTGAACATCCCAACAGCTGAAATTGATACTGCTATTCTTTCAACTCATCAGCGTCTTCAGATGTGCATAAAAAATATCGGAGGCCATTTGGGACACCTGGGTCGCCAATTAGATCACTTTTTGTTCCTTTCATGGGTTTTATTAAAAAAACGCGTTTTCTGGGAGCCACAGACCAATCATAAAAAGAATTCAGTAAACTAACTATAATGTACCCTCGACGATTATACCTATAATATTAAAGAGACTTAATAAGTTCAAAATGCGTTTAGTCCTCGGTTTAGTCCCTTTGGAGCAACATGGATGTTCTGATGATATAGGTATATTTTTTAATCATTTATATTTTTTAGACTCACAATTGCCTCTAACATCTTATTGATTTTGTAGCTAAATTTTTAGTAGTTTTAGGAAATTTATCGCGCGATCCTTGGCCTTCAAAGATCCATTAATCTCATTTTCCCAATATTTGAGATTAGGAACGAGATTTTGAAAACCGGTTTTAACTGGCCTCTTTGGATGTTATTTGGCTACTTTTTCATAAAGAAAAAGTCATACCATTCCATTTGATTTTTTTTAGGATTTTGAGTCATGGTGTCAAAACTAGCCCCCTGGTCGAGAAGGATTCAACTAAATTAACTATATCTTGGTTGATTCTTATTGCCCAAGGAATGCTCTTTTCAACGATACCAAAGTTGTTAAAATCCGTCAAACCGTTAAGAAGTTAAAGCATTAAAGCATTATTGTACAAATAACTGAACGCCCCGCCCCACACCATCTTTGTTTTTAAAATAACTGAGTTTTTTACGAAAATGATAGATAAACTGGTTCTGAAAAAATTTTTGAAGAAAAAATTTAGTTTACTATGCGAAATTGAAAGGAAATGCAATTTTAAAATTTAAGATAGCAGTTACGTCCACTAGTGGTCATTTTTGGAACTTGAAAACATTTTCGAGCGATTGTTCATGACCGATTTACACAATAATTTTTTTTCCCTTAAGTCATACGACGAACGGTTCCCGAGATATGGCCGAGGAACAGTATTATTGGGTCACCCGGTACATTTTCGGGTTCCTTTATGTCTTGCATTCATTGTGCTGTTTGAGACCTTAACCCTGTCGTTCCACATTTTACTTTACATCTTTCGTCTCCAACGGTCCAAGTTTCCATTCTATTTGACTGTTAATTTTCTGGAAGGAAGAGTAACCACCTACGGGTACGTCGCTGGAAGGGCGCAACGGAAGCTCCAGTAGGCTTATTGTAGAAGATTGTTTAATAATTATCGTGGTTATTATGATTGTAAAAGCTCGGAAATTTAAGTCGAAATAAATTACATTGCAAAAATAAACTTTCAAAATGGTAGTTCACCGAATAAAAATAGAAAAAGGCTAGGAAAAAAAAAGAACACCAATAAAAAAAACAGCTGTCAAATTAATATTAAATATTAATTGTTTGTAATGATGTGAACGCATAACATAAAATTATAGCATCACAAAAAGTAGCAGGTAGACTTCAAGAGGTAACCTATAGGTTTTGGGAATTATGGGTCAAGTAAGCAGGTACCAAGATTCTAAGAAATGGTGAAATACACAGAATGTGACTCATCTTAAAATCTGCAATAAAGTCCTTTTGTTAAAACCAAATGGAAAATTACATGACCTTGTTGGCAAATTTAACCATCGGTAAAAATATGTGGAAATTATTGAATCTCCACTCATATATCACACAGATTCTAAACCGAAGAGTTTTGATTAGCATAATCTGGCCCCCGCAAGATAGGTAGCGTCTCCCCTCGTTCGGGGTTTCGAGCCTACAGTTAAATGTCGAAGACAATCACGGAATTAGGTGTCGTAGCTCAAATTTGACTACAGTTTTTACCACCCCCGCGACTGCTTCATTCACGGAGATAATTACAAACAACAAGTCAGTACATACATCAAACGAATCGGTAATTTCCACATATTGAAATAAATTGATCAAAATTTATATGATTCGGACAAAACACATAAACATAAATTAAGCAAACATTACCCCAAAAACGTAAACGATTACAAACAAAAGGATAACGGTATTAAACATGTCATTCTGTATTGCGGTTAAACCAAGTAAATTTCAAAAACCAAGATTTAAACACACAAAATATAAAATGCGGCATACCAAACCCAATACGATATAAAGAAATGCAAAAATTACTACCTGCATCAAATAACACAAAATAACAACAAACATTTATGGAGCGACGCGTTCACGACCGCTATTGCAAGGCAAGATGCCCAACGTAACCCACGTTCGTGCTCTCCAGATGGCGCAAATCGCGTTCCCCTCCTAAAAATTGCGTGGTTGCCAACTCTCAAAAATGTGTGCATCGTCGTTCAGTGCACGTGTTAGTACATATCAGATTCAGATTGTGCCATAGTTTTTTGTTATTTTTTTTAAATAAAGGAATTAGAGGAGCTGATGACACGGTACCCGCCGAACGATTAATTCTAGGGGAATGCCATATCAGACTATACTCAACATATCTGAAATACACATACGGTTAGCTTTTAAAAAATTTGCAGCTGATGACTTAAGGATGCGAAACGAAATTATTACTGTGACGTTTCAATTCCGTTTACTTACACGCGTTTCTGAAATTAGAAATGATCTACTGCACAAATTACTTATAGATGTTGATTTAAAGAAAATACACCCCCCAATCTTTAAAAAAGTGAGAAGCTAAATGGACAATTTTATGTTATACACTGTGTGTTGCGTGCGACATCACGATTAATTCGATGGCATAGTGAACTTTTCGGTAGCACTTCCTGTTAAACCGAAAACCGAAGCAACTTTGGTTTTTCAAGTGCAATAATGCAATGCATGCTTTTTTTTAGATCAATTTACTGTGTGACAACATAAAATATGCGTATGGTTGATATATAAAAATGGAGAAACTTGGGATTCAATATTTAGAAATTATGAAATCTAGCATGCCGTGTGCTGTCAGGATGCGCGGTGTCTGTTATGTTATACGGAGAGATCGTATTACGAAAAAGTAAATCTTCAAAACGAAACATTTTTTCGTTTGTAACCCTTTGAATTTATTCATGTAGCATTCACAATCCAACAACACTCCTATCTGTTTGGACCAAATACCAGAAGTAACAACCAATTCGTTTATATGTGCCTTTGTTTAACTTTCATAAATTGAAATAATGGTATTCTTATTGTCACGATACGCTAGAAAATAGAGAATTTGCATCTGAAATAAAATTAAAAAACCAATCCTTTCTAGGTCTTTTAGACACGATAACCAGCACTGTTGACTCCAAAGACTGTCCCGGAGTATGCGTCCATGCTCTAGCAACTATTATTTGCTACGATGTACTGGAAGATGTCGCCTGCCCTTCGTCGTCAATGAAATGTTGCGTAGAACCACCATCGCCCAATACCACAGAGAGCGCCAACAAAACCGCCACCACAACCGAAAGAACCACAACCCCGACAACTCCCACTACCACGCCAGTTACACAAAAGGTACTTTTAAGATTGCGTTTACGTTCAAGTACTCATATCATTTTGTATTAATTCAGTGCCTTTTTAGCAAGAAATTGACCGATATTCTAACGTATCACTTACAACCACCGAATCGAGTAAAAATGATTCACCCCGTAAGTAAAACCGTAATATGTCGATAGCAAATTGTTACAACAATTTAATTAGCGCTAGCCGTAAAAGCCTGTCCCGGAGTATGCGTTGCCGAAAGAATCTCGGATTACTGCGAAGCAATACTGACAACTGAAGATTTGTGTAAACCCTCCCTGAAATGTTGTGTATCTAGTGATGTCTTCGGAGACAAAATACCGCCAAACTTAATAATTCCAAATAAAACGAAAAGCGGCAACAATAATACCAATAGCAGAACAACACCTGCACCTACCACAGTAACAACCGAAGTGGTAAGAGTTCCTCTGGAAACAAAAGCGCCTCACATTTCTAAACCATGCAAAGGCGAATGTGTTAGTGGTTTACTCGCACTGGTGTTTTGTGAAGACATTGATTCAGAAGCAGAGTGCTCCGAAGATGAGAGCTGTTGCATAACGTCAACTGTAAGTATAGACTCCTCTCGAATTTTACTGTCTAATGAATTTATAGCCAACTAGACCCACGACTATGTACACAACAACCATACCTACAACACCCAAACCAAAAACAACAGATTTAGGTCCACGTTGTCCAGGCTACTGCCTCGTGAATATCATGGCGGCATTTTGTGAACGTCCGTCCGTTTTGGTACCACGTACGTCCGACTGCAAGAGGGGTTCAATCTGCTGTGATAACACGAAGGTTACCACTACGCCGCGTCCAAAACCTAAACCTATCCAAACCACCACCCCAGTAACGACAACCACCACATCAGATCCACGACCGGATTGTCCAGGGTCGTGCATTGTTTCATACTTAAGCTTTACCTGTTTCAGTAAGTACGAAATTGCTTCCATCTGATACTAAATTCGTATTCTGCAGGAAACGCAGAGATGACCGAAATATTTAAGTGTCGAAAATCAACCATGAAATGCTGCGCCCCAAAATCTCTCATACGTGAGGCAATGGAACACAAACATTCCGAAATATCTTCCCAAATCAATACCTCACAGTCTAACAATGCAGTTCTTACAACAATGACGCCGTCAATTGCGGAATCTTCTCCTACAAGTACTTGAGATTTAAACCATAGATAAGGTAACATGTCACATATTTCAGCAGCATCCGCATCATCTCTCAGCACAACACGTCCTCCGGTTTATAGTAAATACGTTTGCGGTGTAAAAGGCACGTCTAGAAACGCCAGAGTTGTGGGAGGCGAAGATGGTGACCAAGCGGAATGGTGTTGGCAGGTCGCGTTAATAAATTCTTTAAATCAGTATTTATGTGGAGCAGCTCTAATTGGAACCCAATGGGTGTTAACCGCCGCTCACTGCGTTACGAAGTAGGTGAAATGGGGAAATTGCGCAGATTTACGAAATTTTTGTAGCATTGTACGGTCTGGAGATGCCATATACGTGCGGGTCGGAGATCACGATCTTACAAAGAAGTATGGAAGCCCGGGCGCCCAAACGCTTAGGGTTGCCACCACGTACATCCATCACAATCACAACAGTCAAACTTTAGACAACGATATAGCTTTACTAAAATTGCACGGCCAGGCGGAATTGAAGGAAGGCGTTTGCCTAGTGTGCCTTCCAGCACGTGGTGTTAATCATGCGGCAGGAAAGCGCTGTACCGTTACGGGTTATGGGTACATGGGCGAAGGTAATAAATGTTACTTTCTTTGCTTTTGAGTCCTTACCTTTGTTTTGTAGCGGGTCCCATTCCTTTAAGAGTGCGAGAAGCGGAAATACCAATTGTTAGTGATGCCGAATGCCTTAGGAAGGTAAATGCGGTCACGGAAAAAATATTTATCCTTCCTGCCAGTAGTTTTTGTGCCGGTGGTGAGGAGGGAAACGATGCATGTCAGGTACGTACACAAGTTTAATTTAACACATGCTCATATGAAGTAAAAAGAATGTGTATGATATTGTTTTCGAGTGAATTGCTAACGTAAATAAAATAGACCCAAAAAATGAGACAGGTCAAAATGTCTAATTTGTCCCTAGGGCGATGGTGGTGGTCCCTTAGTCTGTCAAGATGACGGTTTTTATGAACTGGCCGGTCTTGTGTCGTGGGGATTTGGATGTGGACGTTTGGATGTACCTGGAGTATATGTTAAAGTGTCATCGTTTATCGGATGGATAAATCAAATAATAAGTGTTAATAATTTGTAATTAGAAATATGTTATATTATTTAATAACTGTGTATATATAATTTAAGTTATTTGGAAAAACGGAATAGATAATAATACCTTAAATATATTTTTTAAATTAAGAATTTGTTACCAAACGATAATAAATAGTTACATAAATGTTTGTACCTACAATGAAATTGTATTGGTGTGAAGTTTAATAATCTAAAAATTGTAGAGGTATTCTCCTCATGGAACGAAGGATACTCCATTTTTAATTGTACAACAGTTTGGTCCCTTGTATAAGTTATTACTATTTGCCCAATTTCACACCAATAAGCCTATTCAATTTTAACGTATTTGTTTTTATAGGTTATAATCTGCTTGGAAAAGTGTTTTCCCGGTAAATTGTATTACAATTTGTATTTAATTGATATTGGATGCTTTGCTTTTAAAAAAAATGAATCAATTGCGATAACTGTCACCTCGCCCGGCCACAAAGGATTATAACTAGTATAGACGTGGTCACTCGCGACCAAAGTACATTTTCCCCGCACAGAATCAGTAATAACTCGGGAAAGAAGTGACTTAGTCAAAAAAATTTTTGTCGTTCTGATCTCAAGGCCGTGTAAAAACGAAAACACAAAGCGAAAACTTAAAAATTGGTTAAACTGATGGATTAGTAGTGGTACAGATGGACGGACAAAGTGCGGACAATGGGAAAATGCGCTAAAAAGTCGGTTTCGGTCGATCCAGCACAGGTGGTCTGTAATCGAGGCTTTTTGAAAAATCTGAGGTTTGTACCCGTTTTCAAAATTCCGTTCCAAAACTTAAAATGATTTCTCATTATTTCATAAAATTGATCCATGGTAACTTGTCGAAACTGGTGGATAGGCCAAGTGTAAAACAATGGGTTGAAGTAACCCAAAGAAAAATATCGCAGAAGAACAAATCACACTGGCACATATGCCAACGTCTGCCGTGTATTGCTGTTGCACCATAGTTAAGCCACGCTTGTTCTCATTTGGCTACCAAAACTACCCATTAAAAACCCATACCAAGCTGATATCGGCTGCGAACACGTTTCCATCTCCATTTTATGATAAGCCACTGATAACAATTGTCTAAAACTGATTCCGTTTAATTAACCAGTGTCATAATTTTATTGCAAACATTCCTTTTTGATCACAAATCGAAACTTTTAAAGTGGTTGAAGGCGATATATTCAAGCATTGGTCAAACACAAAATGAATACGAATATAGCTAAGCCCTATGGAGCCGTCCACCATGCCTTTCAGACTCATGGGCATTGTTTTCATATCAAGGAGTGAAACAAAAGCACTAATTAAGCACGCTAATATTTTTTATACAATGGATCATTTTTCGAGGCATTTCTACTGTCGATGCAAAACAGTGTGAGGCATAACCGTTTGGTCGTGCCTCTTCTTTCTGCTGTCATTTTGGTTTTCTTGTTTCAGTTCATTCCGATATTATTAATTAAGGACCATACCGTCTACAGTACAGCGCATGCTCAACGTCATCGCAGTTACCCTCTGTAGCCGCTTGTTGTACTACTAGGCTTTTAATATTAGACTTCAGCCTTCGTATGTACATAGAATGTGGTAGCGTACAAAAATGTATAATTTAAAAATAGACAAGACATGCAATTGTATGTTTTACGCATTGCAAGGAAATTAATTGTTTCATTTATTGTAGGTCAAGTTGTTTTTTTTTATTTAACTAAAAGAGAATTAGAAATATAAAGTAACAAGCGGGGTTAGAAATGCAATTTTATTTCATATGTAAATAAAGTAAGATAATAAATACGTACGTGTGCATATTCGGGATGAGGTAAATGAAGCGGGTCATTGTAATTACAATGAAAGCAGGGAGGAGAGTTGTTAAATACGTCTACTCGTTACCGAATGTTGATTGGCAAAAGCGTATGCTAGCGCGAGTTGATTCATCATTGTAAGATGAAGCGCTGATTGAGCCAGATCTTACAACCTGGATATCAAATACATGTACAAATAGCGGTAAAGGAGCATCCGTAAAACGGCGACACGCAGTGAAAAATCTGCGCCAGTCGTACTCGCGAAAAACATCGTGCAATCGGTCCTTTGGGTGGATCCAGAAAAACAGAAATTAAATCAAGAGCGAGCCATCATCTTCACCAAATCACCTTCACGCTGCGAACGAAGATTTTCGCAGCATTTCCAAGAAACAAAACGGGAAAGTTGAAAATATCCACGACGGAACATCACCAGCGGCTTCTGTCAGCGGTCCGTGCAGAACACAGCTGGAGAGACAACCTCAATTCCCCATCGATAAAACAATCAACGAGAAGTCTGGTCGGTCCGTGCGTTCCGAACCATATCAAAGTCCCGGGGACGGGACCCAAACCATTCCACTATTGAAGCATCCACGTGATCCTGGTGCATAAACAATAAAGGTATTTTCGAGTAATTGTTCTATCGTGGTGTAGTTTTGCCGCTAACCGTCGTATCGTCATTTTTTGTTGGGCGTGGTGTATTTGATAAAAAACTATTGAAGAGAATTCTATGCTCAAGCAACATTTTATGTTGTGTATTTATGTATAGGCAATTTAACCACCTACTTGTGATTTGCATTAAGTTGGTGTTTTGGTGGACATCCAGATTAGGCCTGTGCCTCAAATTTACGTATTGTTCGATTTATTTTTATTGTACAGGATGTTATAAAAATACAATTAATTTCCGGTTAGCACCTGACGGTGATGATGACGCTGAATGTTGTTTAACCATTTACTTTACAGGATTGTTTCGTCTCAAACCCCCAATTTACTAATGTTATTCTATTTTAGCAGACGTACGAAAATAAAAACCGTTTCATAATTTAATTAAGATTATTGAGTTATTATTTTCCCTTTATGATTTCCTTAAGAGGCCAGAACAGGATCACTGACCGACAGTTAGCCGGCTCATATTCTATATAATTACATAACAAGAAACACCCCCAATGCAATTAAGATATGGGAAGATTAACTAGAGATAGGATGGAGGAGAAGAAGTAATTTTTAGCATGCGTTAGTCAACTACAGAAAATAACAATTGATGACAAGCTGTGCTTTTCACAAGCATTGTTGACTAAACCGAGGATAGATGTCAAACGTTGTGTCAATATAAACTGTATTTGACCAAAGTACTGTCTGTATTATATCAGTTATATTGTGGTAAATGCCATCAGAGAGCGCACCCCAAAAGTTCATCCGTGACGAAAACAGAACTAAAGGAAGAATTAAAAACTGTTTCCACACCTTAGCTCGGCTTCTTTAACAACAAAGAGTTGTTTGTTTCTCGTATACATCCCACTTGACAAGCAATGTTAAAAAAACGTTTGGTACGTTAAACGAATGTTGCATTTTGAAACAACTCAATTAAACAAAACATCAACGTTATACCAACGATACTTGAATGGGTTTTCTTTCTAACCCGTGGATACGACGTTTTTGTAATGTTAAAAATTGTAACCTTTTGGACTTGCGTCGCTGGAACGGGACATTATTACGTTAAAATAACATTCAGAAGGCTAACGTTATACCAATATTACTTTGACAACGTTTTTATGCAAAACCTTGTTGCGATGTCATTATAATGTTAAGTAATGTGATGTTATTAGCGTATGTTGACGGAACCATACATAACTACGTTAGTTCAACTTTTAAAAGCTTAACATTACAACAACGACATTTTGGTACTGTTAAGTTGCATAGTTACAGTAACGTTCTTGTAATATTAAAAATGTGCCTTTGGGCATTGCGCAACGAAAAAATAGCTGGTCGGTGACTCATCACTCGGTTTATCTTCATTTGCAGTTAAACATGTTTGTTGAATATGTTGGTTTTCTGTGAATTGAGTGATGTGATTCAAAATAAGTGGAGAATAGTTTGAATTAAGTGCTTAAAAATTGTGGAGTTTTTTGGGTTAGACATTGGCGATTGTGGTTTTTTTCATCAAGGATGAACGACAACGACTTCAACAAATAATCTGAATAAGCTATCCATTTACGGCGATTTTTACGTGTTGAATTTCTCTTTGTATTTTCTACCTTGTACGCTCATCTTTTTATTTTAAATCAAACAGTTCTACCAGGGTTCCTCCTAGGCGTTAGCAGTATGTAAAAGTAAGTAAAAGACGTAAATTATTTTATAGATATATAACCTTACTTTTTTAGAAACTTCCACAATGTCTTTTTCACCAAAACATGACGCGTTCGTCTTAAAGGAACATTATCGAAGTGCAAGTCTACAGGATGGAACATGGACGTATTCCATTTAGTCCTGTCGCCAGCAATTCTATCAAGAATTTCCTGATATCCAACGTTTTCTTACAAGGTATTTTCCATTTACAAATACTCCATGATGCCGAACAACAGTTTTACGATGATCGTTTAATTAGCAGAGGATTGTGGTCACCACGTTCTCCAGATCTAAGCCCGTTAGATTTTTTTTTCTGATTTTGAAATACAATATTTTTAGAAATCGTCTGCACATCACTGAGGAACTTCAAAATGCAATCGAAGAGGAACTAATGAACATTACACCAGTAATGTTAGAATGAGTTTTCGATTATATGAAAATATGTGTGTAACTGTGCATTCTTTATAATGGTAGGACATTTTTAACAATTTTGTGAAGTGATTGATGTGAATGAAATAATTTTTTATACATTAAATTTCTGGTAAAAGATTATTTGAATTATTTTGAATTTGAATTTTTTTACATTGTGCACTTTAGTATCAAAGTGCAAAAATGTTTATTAAAGTACACAATCTGTGACAATACTAAATTATTTTTTTTTTAACATCAGCTTCCGCTATTTGCCACATACGTCTCATATATCAAACGTCACATTTGTTATATCATATATTGAGGTTAATTGTTTTTATAAATTTAGTTATCGAATCGAAAACTGCTTTTTTCTATTTCGGTGTCACAATGATGATTTTGTACAACTGTTTTCGACCGAAAACAGTTGTACAAAGACAGTGATTATAGTCGTTTTTTTTTGGTAACTCATCTCTTAAGTTGGCAGTTACTAGTTAGTAGAAGTAGGTACTTCGTTGGGTACTTCCATGTTTGAACTTCAAAATGTCAGTCTTACTACGCTGCCAACCTAAAACTTAACAACATAAAAAGTGTTCCCAACATAAAACATGTTAGTTCTAATGTTCCCTATAGTTTCTGATAATGATTTTTTTAATTAAAGTAAAGCACCGAAATAGAAAAAATAGTATGAAAAACGCGTGTTACAATGCTTTGTTGTAATACTCCTATCTTGCGGACACTCGTGGCTACGCTCCGCGTCGCCACTCGTGCCACAAGATAGTCGTATTACAATAGGTCGCATTGTAACACTTGTCTTTCAATATACTATTTTACCTTGGGCCAGGACACATGTAATGTTTAAACACGTTTATGTCATCCTTGTACATTAACGGCCGGTATTATAAAGCCAGACTTAACTTTGTTGTCAGCTAACGGTGTTGTTAAGACATTCCTTAACAACACTGTTAACTTACAACATAGTAAATATGACTTTAATAATACCAACCGTCAATGTATAAGGATGATATAAACGTAATTTAGTATTGTTTAATAAACATTTTTGTACCACGTTTATACAACGTAAGAGAGTTACATCGCATTGGCGTTTGTTTCAAACGTTCAATTAACGTTAAATGCTGATGTTATAAAGTGTTATATGATGTAACGTTTGCTAAACGTAGGTATTTAGACGTTACAGAGAAACGTTCTTGAAGGCGGACATTAGCAGTCGCGGTGACGTTAATAGTAAGTTAATGGTACTTATACGCTAACGTTACAAGTCACCATTAAACGTTTATTAAACGTTAATGTTGCACAATTCTGTCATGTGGGATGTAAATAACATGTTATATACTGCTACTGAATAAAAGTGAATAAAAACGCAGGGGTTACAAAATTTGAGAAAAATGAAAAATTCTCATTAAACTTGGGAGTTGAGGTGTACAAGGGGACCATTCTACTTCTACACAACTCAAAGAGTGCTTCATTTTTATTTTTTATGATGTCGCTAATGGCAATACTGGAGACAATGGCTCAAATTTGGAAAATTCGATTTTTATACCCTTTCCCTTTTTGCACCACTATTAGACTTACAACAAAAAACTCGGGTCCCCTCACAAACAGTGTGTTCCTAATGTACGTAATCAGAAATGCCACATACGTTCGTGTACGGGTAGAGTAAGAGTCGCAGAACAACATGCTAAGACTAGAATGGATGTTGCACTTTCAACTTAAAATTCCAATTAAATCGCGCGGAATAAAATCACTGCTCTGACACGCGTCCAAATCCCTTCGTGGAAAATAATTAAACTCCAAGAAGTTCATTCGTATTGCAACCCATTAGCGAAGAAATACCTCCCCGGCCATTGCTTAATCCTTAGTAAAATACGTGATCTATGAGGAATTTTTACCGCGTTTACCTTGTAAAAATAATGATGACACTCAAGCATGATAATTGCCGTCATTGGTGTAACGCCGTTGCTTCCGTTGAATCGTTCCTGCCATCTATTATGATACCTACGAACAACTTGCGCGTATCGATTTACACAGCGGAAACTATTACATTCTGCAATTATCCTCTCTAGTTTATTGCACAAACTTTGATTAAATCCAAATATAATGCCCCTATTTAAATATACCAAATTGTAAGGCTGCCATCTTTAATTGATTTTACTAAGTGCATGTGCGATGTGCTACAGATTCAACGGCTCTGCACAAAAATTGTAGTATTTTCGCTATATCAAATACAATTTCCTCTATGAACACTTGGGATTGAGTGAAGCCGTCAGATATAGATGGTGGTGAGTGTATTCCAAATTCGTAAAGAAACGCAAAGTGAGATCACTACGGACTCTCGCAACACTTTTCGAAGCAGTGACTTATAATTGAAACTTGCGCGGAAAATTACTTGATAACGCTTTTGTGTGCACGCGTTTCTAATATGCGTTAGTCATGGTGTACAAGCAAAACCCAACGTGTGTAATCCCAGTAGTGGACATTTGGGATTTAATTTAATCTGCACCACTTTCGTTGGTGTGTCAGTCAAGATTCATACCACGTTGAAAAAATCTTGTGGAAATACAACAGAATTTAATAGAGCTGTCACTTCATATTCGTCACAATACCTAGATTTTAAATTAAAATTCAATTGTCTGCTTTAAACAATGATTTTAAAAAAATCTCTCGGTTTCCTTAAAGTATCAAGAAACTCGACATTTACTGGGTTCATAAACACACATGCTAAAAATTAAAACACAAAATTTTACACAAAGAAACATCTGCAAATTTTTATCAGCTTGAATGTTTTATCAAATTAAATAAAAAAACGTCGCACATCTAACTGACCCATATATAATTAAATCGGTTCGCGAGTTATCATGTACACAGATGGACGGACAGAAAGTCCTATTAGGAGCTCGTTAATAAATTATTATATTTCTACTGAGAAGGGCAGTACATCAAATAACTTTGTTTCTTGAAACCCTTGTCACTAGAATCTTAATAGGAGTTTAATGGAAAATTGCAAGGGATGACTTTTATATGAGCGGTGTTTGCAGACATTTCAAGCTATTATCTATCGACAAAAAATTTTACGTACTACAAAAGTTGCAATCTTCCAAGATATAGAAATGAGTAAGATCGAAAGTAATTCAAAATTGGTAGTGGTTGCGCGGTTTGAGAGTAGTTTGAAAACACCCAATTACAGAAGTATATGTATAGTGGAGTGGAGACATCTGTCGTATATAAAGTTTTTTATTGCACAAATTAGTATAGAGCACATGGATGGAGTAGTAGTAGTACTTCGTACAGATTTCGCCATCCATTTGCGTCCTCTGTGAACAAAATGTTCACCTACTGACTGGATCAATATATTTGTCCTGCACTTAGTTCCGACAGACGCGTTCACATATACGTTAGATGTCAGTAAATTCATACCTATCACATAACGGTGTCTTTCTCTTTTGAATTATTTTAGATTTAATGAAATACGAAAATTTGAATATGTAGTCGTACTCAACGCAGTGACCTACCGCTGTTTTCTAACTTTGGCTTGAATTTTGTTGCATGTATAACTTACGGTGAATTCAATTTGTTGCTCAATTTGGCGTTTTAAATGTTTTATGTAGATTAGGTAGGCAACAAACACAGACCGACGGACAGAAATTCCAAATGACCAAAATTCAATCCTTTGACCATCACCTATTACAGAAAACAGAATTGGAATATTCAAAACCGTTCGCGAGTTATCATGTACAAAGGCGGATGGACGAATTAACAGAGTGACAGACAGTCCAAAATAAGAATGAGCTCGGTCGCTCATTAATAAGTGAGACTACCATTTGTAGACCCGCAGGCGATTCAACTCAGGTAGTTCACACTCTACTCATTTACGAGAAACCCCTGTTTCCGGACCTATTCATTTCCCTTCCAAGAGTGGTCAATAGAAGGTAAAATTTAGTGGTTTAATTTGTAGCGCCGTTTTCGCCGCCGATAAGGGAACCAAGACCAAACTTTAAGGGTTGGTGTCAGTGGCGTACCTAGAACTATTGCCGTCCGGGGTGCCGTCTCCAATTTGCTGTCACTTCTAAGTCAATAAAATGGTGGCTTTTATACATTAATGAACGTAAATAAGTAAATGTAATTCAGACAAACAAACAAATATGTGAGGAACTTTTTTACCATTGGATGCCGTGTTTAAATTAAGCAGTTATAAAGGGAGCTGCATGCAACTTTGATAAAAATGCATGATATTTATTTTTTTAAAGGTCACAAGAACTTACGGAGGGTTCTAGGGCTATGGCAATTATATAAGTACCTAATTCAAAAAAAAGATCGAAAATCAAGATCAGATTACCTTAGTAATCTGCGGTATTAGCATTTAAAAGTGCGAACGCTTTTCAGTTGGATAGTGTATTGACATCCGAAATAAATTGGTTTCTGTATTCTGCATTTTAGAGGTATTTTCAACTCTACAATGACGACGATAATTCGTAGAAATCGAATAGTAAGCTTATGAAGTGAACAAGTCGTTTTTTTCATCTAAAACTAAACATAAAGATGCCGCAAAATATGTGCCGCCCGAGGTAACTCATAAATAACTCGGTCAAATTCATGAATCGGGAAATTCCGCCATATTGGAACAAAATGGCGAAAATAAATCTACCTACACCTAATCAGCCAAGCCGAAAGGGATTATTTTTAATGTTTATTTAGTTGAGGTAAAATAAACTGCTTGAAGAAAATTACGATACTTTTTTCAACAACCTTCCACAGTAGTTATAATGGACTAGCACATTGTATTTTTATCAGTCTTCTACCGGATTAAGAATGTATTTGTCCGTCCATCTGCCCTTTTTTTCGTAACGGTTTAACAGATCGAAATGAGGTTTTTCGCACAGTAATTATAATATTACTAGCAATTATAATGACGCATATTGAACACACACAATGTAGAGAAAAAAATCCACAAAAACTAATACTTTTTTCGATC